CAGTCCATTTACCATGTGCATCCCACAAATCTCCATCAACTGCAAGATGCTATCCTATCAATATGGGCAAACATTTCTAAAGAATGCTTTCAGCACCTTGTTGAATCAATGCCACGTAGAATTAAGGCAGTTCTGAAGGCGAAAGGGGGTCAAACACCGTATTAGTATGGTGTTCCTAATAATCCTTTAGGTGAGTGTATACACACTATGCAATTTAGAGACACCCCACTTAGCCTAAATGCAACTGGAGTACCCGGAAGAAGCTCGTACAATGTGGGGAGCAGCTAATAATTCCACACACATATAGCAGAGAAGCAGTACCTTAGTGGTGTGAGGCAGCAGTATGATTCACTGAGTCACACTGTCACCATCTTACCAAGACAGTGTCTGTAACCTGACTTTTGTTCTTACTATCCTGGGTTTCAGGTGCCTCCATGAAACTGTCCTTGTAATCCTGTCACTGGGTAAAATGTGATGTGCGGATAGATAAACCATAATCAAAGTTTATTTATCAAATACACAACAGTAAAGCATACAGCAGTAAATGCAGGCCATTTACTAATGATACGTAAAAAAAAAAAGTATGTAAATAAAAGTAAAAAAAAAAAAAAAAAGAAATTTGCAAAGTGTCCACATTAATAGCATAATCAGCTATTGAGTAGCCTTACTGGCTGAGGGCAGAACCTTAGAAGCTGTTATAGAGTCTGTTTGTCTCTGTGCTGAAGTTCCAGTACCATTTCCCTAATGGTAGGAGCAAAAACAGTTTGTGCCTGTGATGGCTGGCATCTTTGAAGATGGACCTGGTCAGAACATACAGACTCTACAAACACAGCAAGCAGGATTCAAACCCCCAATCACCTAGTCCAGGATAAGCAAGCAAGATGGATGGATGGATGGAATAAAGGAAAGTTAAGTTATTGTTCCATCAAAATCCTTCAAAAGTTCCATTTTACAAATCAATCAACGTTTTTAAGAAAGCCCCTGTTTGCACTTTCTCTTGCTTTGTACTACATAAGGAATCGAGTAATAAAGTTTATCATATGTTACCTCATCTTAAACTAAACAGAGACTTGTGTAAATTTGGTTATTTTAAGTTACTAGGGAAATGGCTCATCAATAAAATAAGAATAAGAATACAAAGAAGGTCTTTTTTATTTTATTTTTTTACAAAAAAATTGCACTTCGGAAATACTGTCTCTGAAAAATATACGCCTAATGGCTAATTGCTAATGGTTTTCTTGCTAACACACTTACGTCAGAGAGTATTTTGATAAAAGAGATCACTGTACTCCAGAGAAAAGTCTAAAATATACAGTATTTTATAGAATATAGTTAACAGAAACTGCTCTTCATTAACATACGAAGTATACGTACGTCTTTCCTTAATAATTAATATAGCCTACCTTATATATGAGGATTTCTTGTTTGATAAATATATATAAATATCTTGCATAATATGCGTTTATCGTACCGCAATATATGCAAACGAAAACAAAATTTATTCAACAAATGAATGTTCATAGTCATGATATAATTAAGCCTCTACCAAATCAAATGGCCAGCCGTAAACACGGCAACCCTCATCCCATCAAGACCTCAGATATGGGTAAAATTGCCAGAGGATTAGCTGAGAAAATAGTCCAGAGTTTTGGGAAATGGATGTATTACAAGCATATTACGAAACATTTATATAAATCAATGCTGGATTGTACTTTCTGTAAGTGAAGAGTTAAATGTGCAGCCTCCACCCACTCCTGCTAAAGGGTGACTGTGACGGAGGCAGGTGCTGATTCGAGTGCGGTGCATCTTCTCGGGATTTCTCGGCAAACGGGTGTGGTCGCCTTCGTTCTTTCTATTGCCATAGTATAAACAGAGAAATGTCTTATTCGTTTACATGAAAAAGACGTCAAAGGGATTTAAGATTTATGATCTTCTTTTTTACAATTTTCCCACCATTTTGTCATTTGTATTATGCATTCATTTCGCATGTAATTGTTGGAAGATTATCAAGCCGTGGGCAATTCTGCTTTTTGCAAGGGCTTTTGGAGGAACTCTTTTGTCTTAGAGGAACATTGTTTTTCCATCTCATATCCAAGATTCAAGGATCCATCTGTTCCTCGCTGGACGCATTCGATCGAAATACATTTCGTGCTATTGCTGTCGCGGCATACATGATTTAATACAGTCATTAGATATTTTCCACGGTAATAATGGCCTGGCCCTGCATTACCAGGGCATGTTGCATCAACCGTTTCTGGAGTGAGTTGGACAAAGGTGACATCGCTGTGCCTTTGGTGTTTACAAAATATTCCGATGTGACCGATGAGCAGCATTTCCATGTGCGGCACCAGCGAAAACAGCCGCATCCCCAGTCTCGACTGGCCATAGAAACACAGCCATCCCATAGTAATCGGGTAGGAGTAGCTGGTGCTTCAGCTGCTGCTGATGTTGCGCAATTGTTGAGCTCATCTGTAATGCGCCAGGACTTCAAAGCTTGGAAAGTCCGCCCGGAACGAAGCTGCAAGCCCAAGAACGAGTATCATCCGTCGCATACCCCTTTCAATAATGAGACGCAGTACCAGAAGGATTTCAAGCCTTGGCCGATTCCGAATAAGCGAGACCACCCTTGGATTCCCAAGCCTAGTGCGAGCAGCTTTGTGGCCAGTGACACAGAGCAAAGGTCTCGGTACGCCGGTCCTGCTGCGTCTGCGGAGGATGCCGGTGGTGTGGAGAAGAGCGAAATTACTGACAAGGTGCAGGAGAAGGAGATTAGAGAGAAAAAAAAGAAGCAAGGGAAGAAGTCACTTGAAAAGGTTAAAGCAGATGGCCTGCAACCTAGGGGTGAAGTTGTTGGGAGCAAAGGAAGGGCTGTGGCAGATGCACTGAACAGGCAGATAAAGGAGGAATTCACAGGAAGCTCGTATAGGTAAGTCGATGGTCCTATTTCTTCATTTACAGTAAAATAATGTCTGAGCCTCATTATTCATAAATTCTGACAGCGTAAAATAGACCACACGTTTTTTTACTATGCATATTAGCATCGAAATATAAACATAACCATTAAAATGTCTTAGGAAGAGTAACAGTACTCACAGATAGTCTTGGGACACTTGCTTAATTCTTGTAAAACTATTGCAAATGTATTGGTTTTATAACAAAAATACTTTTAAAATATTAAGTTATTCAGTAGTTTACATACACATACACTTTACAAACAATCGGCAGTTTTAAGTAAACCATTCGTTTCAAGTATAGTAATAAATTGAAATCCAAGTGTCAGTTTTGAGTTAAAAAGTCCATTGACAAGCAGGCTCACTAGGTGCAATAACTTTACACTAACATAAAACACCAAAGATTTGTGTTTGGTATCCTTTTGGGAGTTGATTACTACAATTGCAATTAATAGGAAATTGAATCAATCAACAACAAAAAAAATCATGACACTTAATGAAAAGAAAATGTCTGTACAGAAGACATATGCATGAACATTGAATGTCAGTGGACTTTTGTTATGAAATCTATAAATTTGCAACATTTTTATCAAATTAAGTAAGCATCAAGACTTTCTGTGAGAACTGTAATTTTACATATTTAATTAATATGTGACATCTAAGTCCTTCATTAGTTATTTACAGGAGATCAGACTGAGTAATACATTTAAAAATTTTATAATATATCCTGACATTCAAAATCTCTGGGGATCCTGACATTGAAAATTTCTTTAGATATCAGATATCTTCCATTATCATAATCTTTGACACCAAAGGCCTTAAGGATAATGCATAGTTGGGCTTTTAACTCTAGAGGAGCCCTGGAAAATAAGTAAGTGTGAATATTTTAGATGACACCTTATGCTTGTGGTTGTTTTTATATGATCTCTGTTTAATATGTCTGACATGAACAGCTTTTCAGGAATTATTGGCTCTTAATCAGTCATCAAAAAAGCTGTGATTCTTCCATATTTCTTGGCAAATCTAATATCGAACACAACATAGTTATTTATTTAGATATTAGAATTAGAATAATAATCTTAACAGTAATGTGTATCTTCCAACCACATCCAGAACAAGGTTGCTGGGGAGGCCTGGAGCACAGCACAGAAGGGCGGGGCACAGGCCTGAACTGCAGATTGGTCTCACCCAGACACTACAGACAGTTCAGAGATGTCATTTCACTTAACTGTTTGACTTTGGGCTGTGGGTGAAAACCCACACAGCCCAGCAAACTGCAGACACACAGAAATATAAGGCAATATAACCCACTACAGCACTCTAACAGTAACATCAGCAATTAATTATTCTGAAAGGTTATGAATCTCAGTTTTGCCCCTTTCCTTTGATGACAGACATTTTGAATGAAATACATTAAATTACAATGGGCTTTATGTGGGTTTCAGTAGCATGGAATCAAATGTACACGGATCAAAAATATTTTTTAAAAATTCAAGAAATCAAAATTTTGAAATTGGTGCAAGTTAGCACAAAATCCATTCAAGTAAGCAATGTGTTTCCATACTCTGAATGTTTAAACATCCTCAGCATCTCTCTCATTCTTGCTGCATAACTAGTCAGTCTTATCATGCATTTTGGCCTGGGTCCTATGCTGCCACTATCATTGCAAACGTAATTTGCATGTATCTTATGTCCCATTCTGAGTTATTCCCTGTCTTGAGCCCATAACTTCTGGGATAGGCTTTGGACCCCCAAGACCCTGCATAGGACAAGCAAGTACAGAAAATGGATGGATGTATGGATGCATGTATCTTGTTTAAAATGAAGCTGGTAGAGTTAGCACTGTCACCTCATACTTCTAGGCTGGTGGCTTTAAATATTGTGATGGAACTGTGTGCTCTGTCTCACGTGATTGCATGGTTCTCAAGTATCCCACTTTTTCTCCAGTCCACAGACCTGTGATTCATGTAAATTGCTGACTTTTATTTGCACTCAGTATTCAGTATATTGGTGTGCAGGAGTGGCCTGTGGTGGCTCATTGGTTAGATCTGTTACTTACACTGCCAGAGTGTGTGGGGTTTTCAGGTTCTTGCCATATTGTGTTGGTATACTCTTGTTTCCCCTAGCAGTCAAAAGATCTCTAAAATCTTATAGGGTATTATTGTGTATGGTCCCTATGATGGACTGGCGTCCCATACAGGGTATACCACAGCCTTCTGTCTATACCCCGCCCCACAACCCAGACTAGGATAATAGGTTTGTGTATGGAAGGAAGTGTATACTATGGGGAATTTCTTTCTTTATACAAAGAATAGATCACTATATCACCTTGCCTATGGGCATTGGTTTAAACTATGTTTTATTAAAGTAGTGAAACATATACATTATCATATTGGTGACATACTCTGTGAAGTTTGCGTATTATGGAATTTAGTTTGGCAAGTTACTCTAAGACAATGATACACCATGATGAATAATTTATTCTGCATTAACTATATGTATCCTATGACCCAGTACTGAATGGGCAGATGGATGGATGGATTAGATTAGATTAGATTAGACTTTATTAATCCCACAATGGGGAAATTCTTTGAGAAACAGCAGCAATAATGAAAAAAGACAGTACAAAAAATGACAGGATCCATAGGATCAGCAAAAAAATAACAATACAGATAATAAAAACAATAGAAAAAAAATTCTAAAACTGTAAAAATATATAAGTAAAAATGTAAGAAAAAAAGAAACATATACACAATGCTAGGTATATGGATAACAGCTGCTGAAATATATATATATATATACATACATACATATACACACACACACACACACACACATATACATATATATACACACATATGTACATATACAGGGATTATATATACTGATTATGTGGTCACTGCAGTGATGTGTTGTAAAGTCTAATAGCTGTGGGGAGGAATGATCGACGGAAGCGCTCCTTCTTGCACTGAGGGTGTAGCAGTCTTGTGCTGAAGGAGCTGCTCAGAGCCTCCACAGTGTGGTGCAGGGGGTGGGAGGAGTTATCCATAATGGATGACAGTTTTAGTATTATCCTTCTGTCCGCCACCTCCTCGATGGTGTCCAGTGTGCAGCCCAGGACAGAGCCAGCTTTCTTAACAAGCTTGTTAAGTTTTTTCCTGTCTCTGTCCGAGCTACTCCCTGCCCAGCACACAACAGCATAGAGAACTACTGAGGCCACTACCGTGTCATAAAAAGTCCGTAGGAGTTCTCTGCACACCCCGAAGGACCTCAGTCTCCTCAACAGGTGGAGGTGACTTTGGCCCTTCCTATACAGGGCAACTGTGTTTGTTGAACAGTCCATTGGATGGATGGGTGGATGGATGGATGGATGGATGGATTATATCTTAATTAAGTCAATGAAAATTGCGGTCCATTTGCAGTCCTGTAAGTAGCAACCATTATCTTGGCATCACACAAATCTCATGGCACACTACAAAAATTTAATGGTTTTATTTTTGGAGTCTTGGGAGGATTTCTTGATAGATTCCATGTTTTCTTATTGTGTATTTTTCTTACATCCATTTCTTTTTTTAAGGAATGAATTCAAAGCTTATGCTGACGTGAAGCCAGTGAGGCCGATAAAAGCCAAACCACAGTACGCCCCCCCAGTGGAAGAGAAGGCTAGCCTGGAGACCAGCTACAGCGCCACCTTTAGGGGGGAGCAAGTGCAGAACATACCCACTGACAACAAGATACAGGAGCATCGAAGGATACGCAGCTTGTACAGTGAGCCTGGCAAAGAACCCATTAAGGTGGGAGGAATGGGCTATGATCATATTCTTAGTGGCTGAAGATTGGGTCTGCTTACCAAACAAAATCAGTACATAATATAAAGCTAGTTTTTTGTTTTGTTTAGTAGCCTGCAGCAGTCTGTTGAGTATCATGGTCAAAAAGGCCATTAAAACCAGTTACATTGCTTTGCTATTATACTTTGTACACATTATACTTAGCTCTTTGAATGTATAAATTGTAAATAAACATTTTATTTTAAGTTAATCACAGTTTTCAGCTTTAAAGTCATCCCCCTTGCTTCCCCAGGCGGAGAGGCCAAGCACTCCTCATTCTAAACCAACGAAGACAACGACACCAAGCTGTAGTAAACCTGTAAAGAAAGGGAAAGAGAAGCAGCTGTCATCGGTGCGGAGTGCCAAGAAAAAGGAGGAGGATCCCAAGTCAGCACCCACAGAGAATGACAAAAAGAAAAGTAAAGAGATTAACAACAAACTTGCTGAAGCTAAAGAGTAATAGTACTGTAGTATCACTGTTATTTTTTGATGGGAAAAATGAACATCTTCTCTCTGCCTTCACTCTTATTTGCTTCTTAGTTTGTAGATATGATTGTTTTTATACTCATTCTGAATGTGGATGTAGTAGTGTCAGTTTTTCCACATCTATCCCATCATCACTGCATAGCATTTCAGTATTATACTCTAAGGAAGTTATTTGAGTTACTTTCTGTGTTGATGAATTTATGTTTTATTAAACCGGAAGTGATCAGGTGTAAGCAAACAGATACCAAGACACCAGTGGATATTTTAAAGACAGACCTTAAAATATAGAAAGTTTCTTTTATCTCATATATTATACAAAGTTTAGAAAGTTCTAAATTATTTTCATTAATTTTCTATTTAATTTGTACACATATTCAAGATTTTTAAAAAGGCATAGACAAGCCAAAGACAACTATACTGCCTGTGCAGTTATGCAATTAGTATAATTGTGTATTAGACTTGGACTGAAGAAAGCAAGACTGATTTAAAGACAAGGTAATTGTACCCAGTATCACGGAGTCATGAAACTCACAAGTATGGATCCAATTGCAGAATTTATTTTCCAAAATCCAAATTGCTATTGCAAAATCAAGTTAAACATTCATGCAAAAGTAGATTAGGTGTAGACAGAGTTTTGAGGTCAATTCAGAATCGTATAACTAGAGAAAAAGCACCCCTGTACTATAGCCTCCTGAGAAAAAAGTGTCCTTCAATTTTAGGTTATTTGTCTTTGGAGGAAATAAGACATCTTACAATTTAGATTTTTTCAACTTTATTTTTATTTTTAATTTCACAGCATGTCCTCTTTAGTGTACAACAGGAATAAATATGTTTCCTTACATCAGTGAAAAGATGCAAAAACAAAATGTCCACTAAAATGGACATAAATGGATGGGTGGGGTCTCAGGAGGATAGAATTTAAAACCAAATCAAACACACAGCATGTAATTCACAAAAGAGAGACACGACTTTGCACTTAGGTGAGAGTCTCAAGGGTTTAAGTATTTGATTGTTAATTGCCCCTACAATCAGGAACAGGAGTGGTCCACCTAGTATTTTGGTGGGGGATTAGTAAGGATTTGAGGACTGGGGTGTTCTGTGTGATCAGGGGTCACATTTTATTTCATGGGCATTTAAGAAGTCTATGCAGTCTGTAGGCGTGAGATGTTATGTCCAGTCCGTACCACCATTAAAGTCAAGGGGCACTTGAGCACTTGAGCATCGGCACCAAACCTTAACGGCAATATTGCATGAGTACTGCTTGGATACTGGGAATAGTTGACATGAACCGGTGCCCTTTGTTTTGTTTGCTGTTCATGAAACTCCGCAGGAGTCCATTTGGTTCAGTCCTGTGGAGTTGGTGTAGAGGCATACCATTCACAATCCTCTCAACTTATGGATGAAATTGTTTTTATCCCCTGATTTACTGCTGCAGACAAATGTTATAGATTTTAACAGTTCTATTCAAAAGTGCACACATACTGCAGTGACTATAGATGTGCTATAGCTAAAAAGTCTACTCTGCCACTCTTCTTTGCTCATCGTCCCTAATTTTAATTGTTCCTTCAAGCTAGATCTGATTGCTAGTGCTGTACAGGCTGGTACAGTTTTCCTGCAGGAAGGATAATTCAGAATACACTATCAGACTTGCTGTTTCTCTCGCAAGTTTGATAGACATTAGGGGCTTGTATTCTGAAGCTGGTTTTCTTGCTTAGCTGGTTAACTTGTCAGATTTAAGCTAGTCTGGGCTAGTTGTAAGGGAATGAAGATAAAGTTAATTTAAACTGGGGTACCTTAAATCTGATAAGTTATAGATATACGACTGCATACCAGTCTTTCCATTAGTGCACTTTTTCATTATTTTGTCTTTTTGTTTATGGGGTAACTGGGTAGAGGCATAATCCTCTGGTGGAGCTTGGCTAGTCAGAATCATAGCCTTGCTGCTGGCTGCTGATGTATACCCAGCATGCCCCAGAAGATTTGGGGTAGATATTAACCAGATATTGGCAAAACTCTGTTTTTGTACTATGATTTCAGGTATACTTCATTTACTGATGAATGGTAAAACTGATGTTAACTTCATTGGTGGGTTTTCTGGATTGCTTGCTTCACTAATTGTCTCCCTTTGGTCATCAGGGAAATTGTATCTAGCTGTGAAGGGAAGTCAATGTCTTATAATTGGAGCACCCTGTCCAATCAATCCAATCAGTGTTCAGCTTCCCCTATAAAAGCAGTGAAGTCCTTCTTGACAGGGACTGATGTTTTTGTACCCTTGCTATTTGCGCTGTTTTGGCCTAAGTCCTGTGCTGGGTATTGGCTGCCATTAAGGCTTCGTGTTGTTTGTTGGTTTAGGTGGCTAGCATTCGTGAGGCCTTGTTTCCACACTGCTGAACATTTGGAGTAGTGTATTCTTATGGTCTTAAGGAAAATGACAAGTAGACAATAATATGTAATAACACATTTTTATTTATTTAACTACCAACAGGACAGAAATGCCAGCAGCGACAAAAAACTGTCTAAATTGTAGTGTGAAATTAAAATTTAAAACAATTGACATTAGACAGCTAACAAAGATTTATGTGCATAAAATAGCTTAAAACTTAAAGTGACATGCAATCAAATGCTGCCTTTGGTTTTGGTTACGTATAACTAAGTTTGGAGGGAACCTAATTTTTCATACTGTCCAGATATTATAGCATAGTATATGCTATTTTGACAGGATGTTCAGAAGCAAACTATTCTAATATTCTGAAATATTGGTGATAAGAATCACCATTAAAGATTCTCAATCAAATCTAAACAGTCTGCAGTCAACCAGGCAGAGTTCCTTATATCTTCACATTCTTGTTGTAAATCATGCATTATTTCACTAATTTCTTGCTGCCTAGTTTCAGCCATTCTGTCCAGCTGAATAAATTCACAGAAGATTTTTTATTCTACATTAAGTGACAAGGGCCATTAGGCAAATGAGGAAATGCATGTTTGATGACTAATAGTAGCCTACAGAAATCTTCAAAAATTCTAACATGGTTTTTTGCCATTAAATATGTAATTATTTTTGAAATTTTAATTGATTAATGAAGTTCAACCTCCCAGGCCTAATCTGTACAGTTTATTTGCCGTGTAATTCTCCCCACTATTAAATCTAATAAGTGTTGAACCTCGTGTGTATGTGGGTTTCCTTCCCTTTTGGTTCTTTTGGTTGACTGGTTGTTGTGCCCTGCCTGCCCCTAGATTACTGGGGATGTAACAGGTGATATGACACCTAGTGTGCTATACTAATTTCCTTTCTTTTGCCCAATATCTGGTTTGTATTGCAGTGGTCAATGGAAGCTGCTATAGGTTTTTTTTATTAAAATTGTGTCCTATGTTTACATATTGATGTGTAATATAAAGGTGCTTTTTACTGATGTGACACTGTAGTCAGTCAGACTGTTCGTTTCCAATACAACTTGCTGTGTTGTATATGTGCAAGTGCACATCAATAGTACTGCTTAAAACCATTATTTATACTATGTATTACTGTTCTGGTCTTAATGCTGCTTTACAATAACACAAAATATGGTGCTGATATTTTTGTCTGTTTTTTATTTTAGGGCAAAGTGTCACCATGTTGAATGATTTCTGTATTGAAATTTTCATCTGTGCTATGGACAGGTTTTATGATGGGAACACTGGCCATTTTAATTATTTAAATTAGCACACTTATAAAAGAAAAACTCTCTCAGTTGTATGAAACACCAGTTTATGCTTCCTTCTGTTCATGCCACTTTTACGGGTTTTGAGTGACAGCATCCATTTTCTGAAACCACTTGCCCTATTCAGGATCACAGGGGCCCAGAGCCTATGGGCCCAAGGCAGGGAACAATCCTAGATGGGGTACTAACTCAACATAAGGATAATCACTCACACATGGATAATCATGGAACTCCAATTAGCCTTAACCCACCTTGGACTATGAGGGGAATCCAGCATACCCAGAAGAAACCCCACAATTACACAGGGAAACTCCACACACATGGAATCCTGGCAGAGGCTTGAACTCACATCTCAGAGAAGTGAGGCAACAGTGCTAAGCACTGCCCCACTGTGCCACCTGTGTGTCAAGACTTTTGTAAGTTATCATATCACCAACTTCTATCTAGCAGTCAAAATTATTTATTTATTTATTTACCTTTATTTTACCAGGAAGTCCCATTGAGATATAAAATCTCTTTTACAAGAGAGACTTGGCCAAGGTAGCAGCCATACAAAACATAAACATATACATGACAATAAAACATTAAACAGTAAAACAGTGAACAGAAGAACAATTGTTTTTGCACAGTGGCTTCTCAAGCAAAACATTGACATTCCTCAGTCACTGTTCTATTTATGATGATCTTAAAATCCTTTAAAGATATTAGTGTTTGCAATTTAAGAACTTTTTGAAGGTTGTTCCATAACCATGGCGTGTAATGAGAAAATGCTGTTTTGCCAAGGTCTGTCAGGACCTGGGTGACATATAAAGACAACCACTTGGAGGCACGCAAGTGGTAGCTATTGGAGCTGATGCAGAGTAGGGTACTGAGGTATTCTGGGAGTTTACCCAGCAAAGCTTTATAAACAAACATGTACCAATGCCGTTTTCTACGGATGGTTAATGACGTCCAGCCAACTAAGTCGTATAAAATGCAATGATGAGTGAGGGATTTTGCATTTAAAATAAAACGTAGAGAGGCATGATACATTGAATCTAGGCTAGACAGTGCAACTTCCTGGCCGGAATTTCAAGATTCCCAACTAATGTGAATGGCAAGACAAGAAAACTTACCACTGTTAATGATATTCCCCATAAGAGGAATACATATGTCTTTAGGACCAGTCTGCTACCACAGATGCTTTCCTATTAAGACGATACCTCTATTAGCTTAAAAACGCTGGAAAGGACCAAGGACAAAGGAGGACTAGATCTGCCTAACTTTCACCACTACCTCTTAGCCAACAGGCTTCAAAACATCTCAGGGTGGCTAAAACATACCCTC